CGTGTGCAGCCGGCGCGCGTAAATCGTCGCGGTGATTAGGAAGTTTCATTTATATCGGATACATGGGGACGTTAAAGGCCTCTTCTTTCTGGAGATTGGCAAAAAAGAGGGAATTACCTGTTTGATTTGCGTAATTAAATTCTGAGCTCTCGGAATATGTGTGCGATTAAACGCAATGGGTTTCAGGGAACATGGAATTCTTGGTACACTCTGCATATTACACAATTGTTTCATTATTTTTATATTATTTCTTACCTAGATCAGAACTTACTGATAATAAGTTTCTATTTATATTCTCATAGAATTTCATTGATTTCCTTTTAAAATTAGACTTAACCGAAGCCTTTCCTATAAAAAGTATCCCGTTTACCTCCGATATCTCGTGAATATGCCAACAAAATTGTATGCGTAATCGTGTACGATCTATTAACAATAAAAGTGTTCCTATTTCCCGTCCGACAGAATATTTAACTTCTAAGAGGGATGTTCCCTCTGCGTTCACTTTGGCCGTCGAGCCACTTTCACGACCGTAAAGTTCCTAAATCCGCGCATCCAAATGTTACATTGTATCCGCGGCGGGCGGGCCGAAATTGCTGGATGGGGTTAAGAGTACAGGCAAGCTCGTAAAGCCGGTTATTGGCCAATTTGGCCGGATGTATACTTACGTTCACGTGTATGCCGGTCTTGTCGAAGGCGAGGTACGGCGGATTCAGACCGAAGGCGTATCGGTAGAACTCGATCTCCTCGAGGAACCATTGTATCGTGTAAAGGAGTGACCCCTCGAGGTCGTAATGGCAGGACAACTTCACTGTGTCGCCGGACCGCACCATCGCCGGCACATGGATTGTCACATCCTTCAGGCCTGTCGCACCTGCGAGAAAACTTATCGTTAATCCTTTCGTTCCTCACACCAATCCTAGTCGGTAACAATTATATACACCACTTAACGCCCACGATAGCAGATATAGTTTTTCTATACATTATATATTTTACATATTCATGCATAGTTTCTTAATATGTTTATTCGTACATTTAAATTTTGCTTTCAAACCAGTGACTCACAGGTCAAAATAACTTATTTGGAAAAATTTTAAAAATTATTTGACTTTCATCAACATTCGATTGGTTCTTTATGCTTGTAGTTTCGTCAAATCTCTCTACTAAGAATATCTATTCTAGTAGGAAACAATGTAATTCTAATAAGAATGACTAATCAGTTGGGTTAATGAAAAGATTGATTGATATTTGAAAATTATATTGTAAGACTATCCATGTTACGAATCTGTCTACTAAATGAACATCAATAGCGTAGTGTTCAGCACTAAAGGAAACGCACTCGTCGGCACGTGCGTCGTAAAGAAGGGGTTAATCTCGTCACGCGGCGACAATTAAAACGATCCGCCGACATAACGGCCGCGGCAATTACGCGCGCGACGATTCGTCGTTAATATTCACGATACGCGGTGCTCAGGATGGACACAGCGTAATTTAATCGCGCTTATTTGAACGGTGTATTCGATAGAGCGACACGTTTCATTTGTTTCCGGTGGAATCGGCGATCGGGTGAACGCCTCGCGAACTGAACACCGTAACAATCGGCGTTGCCATTTTTATAGGAGCGACGCATGCCGCAGGATACTCAGAAGTTTTACAACAACCGGAGATATCGGTTTCCTAGATCGCCATCGACCTGCGAGAGTTATATTACCAATTGAAACCGGGAAAATAAATAACCGCGGTGCTCCAGTTTCAGTGATCGCCGGTATCAGCTATTTTTTTCATGCCGAGCTCACCGAATTGCAGGAAAAACGAATGCCAATGAAATAATGAATCACCGGCGCCTAGGTTATTCCTCGGGAATTTTGGAAATATCCCTGAACGTTCGAGATATCAGTTAAAAATGAATGTAGATTATCAATGTATCTATAGAAAAGAAAATATAACCTCCAAACAATATAAATGGCATAGCGTTAATAAGGAAAACCTGGAGATTTCCTCGTTGAATAAGTTGGCTAAGCGTTAAAACTATATAGACTCGAGTTCATAAGAGGAATATTGATAATAATATCGTATTAATGAATGGTTAAACGCTGTTGGCGTTTTCCTAGCTTATTTATCGTTCTAATTAGATATTCCGGCGTCTTCGCGTAGAATATACGACAATTACGGCCCATTCTCGGCGCTAATCTAATCGCGCGAGCAAAGTCCATTTAGACCGCCAAGTATCCCTTTAAAGGGATCAACCGAGGCCCCGGTATTACGCTCAGGCCTGGAAAACGTCTAATCTCGACGCCCAGCAGCTTCCACGTTTACACTCGTCTCATTCGAGCGAGTAACGTTTCGCTCGTCACACGTTTCTCCCATACTGGCCTCGCGCAGAATGTCTGCGGAATCTCGTAGAATCCCGTACACTTAGCCCCGCACAAACTAGAGCTCTGTTCATTTCCTCGGTACTTTGTAGTTGGAAAATACTAAAACAGGAGTGCGATTTCCAACCTTTGAAAGATATCATCGGTAGAAGAACATGTTAACGACATCATTGTTGTATTCAATATCGATAGTCTTCATCAGGGTCCATCTAAAAAATCAGTGTATAGTTAAAAGGATTCCCAATAATGCCAAAATCCTTGCATGAGGTAAAGTTTTACCCACGGCAGCTTTTAGGAATCATTAAAAGAGAATTTCCTAAAGAGAACGTTCACAAAGAGGATTACTATAAAGGATATTGAATAATTGATACGGCCAAGATTCGTTAAAATGGCAAAAGGCAGACTTTATAGAAAATTCAAGGCAAATCTTGGCTGAATAAGTTTCGTAAGTTAACAATACTATTCGCATATATTTTAAATGAATATTGCTTTCTATTTCTTCCTCGAGCGAAGCCCATCAAGGTTTCAAGAAGGTTCCAAGAAAGCATCTGTGCTCGAAATACAATTTCCCCATAAACATATCCAGTTATTCATTCACACGCCGAACAAAAGCTTCTCTCCACTCTTTCTCTCTCTCTCTCTTTTCAACCCCCTCCGCGCGCGCGCTATTTCCCGTCGATGAAATATTTTCGAGCATTTATCCTACGAAAGGCATTCCCCGACGAAACATTTTAACGCCGCCGCCCAGCTCCCCGGGATTTCACCAGCGCGTGCTTTCTTCTATGATTTTATTGAAACGCAGTGTCTTATTCGGTCCGACATTCCAGCGCTGGCTTTATTCGGTTTCCCGAGTTGGAAGTGCTGTCTAGTCGAACAGATGCACCGGTGAGGTAATGCGTTTTTCCGTCCGCCTTCTTCCCCCTGGCTCTAATTTCGCCGCTGCACGCCAAAAGGATGAACACGTCGATCTCCATTGTTCTACAAGGATCGATGGTCGCTGCCCGGGAAGGAATCGATTTTTTTGCGAACCGGAGAAAGACAAAAGGATGTCCGTGGACGCAGATGTTCTATTTCGTTCCTTCTGACCGCGGCGGGGGTGGAAGTCGCCGGGAGATCGATGGGGAAACGGCAGCCGGCCTACGGACAACTCCGCGCCCGGAAAAACCATCCGTCTGCCCCGAAAGTGAAAGGGAACGTAAGTGACTGACGATGGAAGAACGATCGGAATCACGGGAAAAACGTTTTCCGATCGACGCGTCTGTTGCCAATACCTTTTGCGCTTCTAATTATTGTTCCCTTGTCGGGAAGTCGGTAGAATTCCACCGGTAATCGATCTTCCAACCCCGTCGCTCCTTCAGGGATGAAATTGTTCGATTCTTCGATGGGAAGTTTCAGTTGGTCTCCTTGCCAGGATTTCATGGAAAGATGGAGCATTATTATGGAAAAATAGTATTGGACAGGTCAGAAGACGTATATCTTATTTCTTCCTTTACAATAATGGGAAAGATACAGGCGTTTCTTAGAGAAATTACTTAATAACTTGATTTAGTGATTTACAAGCTATTACACAAAGTGATAGTTAATCACAGACATTTTGAAAAATTCAAACAATTCTCAGAAACGTCTGCAAAATGTCTGCAATAGACATACAACGAATCAATTTCTATTCACTATTTTCGCAATTATTGTCGCAATTAATGTGCAAATTGTCATTATTGGTATTTGTATCGATGTTTCTGCAAACTTCAGCAGTATTTCCCATGACAACTAACCAACTGTATTCCAATCCAGCGAAGGTTGACGCGTTCGCTTGAACTTCGCCAGAAACGAAGTTACTTTGTTCCCGAAGTCTTCTCGTTGAAGCAACATAAATTCGTTCCGGATACGTTTACTCGGCACCGCAACGGGCAAACCGGGAGTGCATTAGCAGTAATTGGCGTCGAACCGAAAACTACACACCCGCCGCAGAAGTGAATTCAGCTAGGAAAATTTGACGCGCCGCGGCTCATCCGGGAATCGAGTCGCGTTTCAGCCAGCTCGTGTTCTGCCATTAATCTCATTACCAACCTTCTCTCCCAGGCATGTACGGGTTCGGATCTTTAATCGAGATTGTCGGCATTCATCTCTCTAGACATGATTGTAACATTATTCCCGACCGGCTCGCTCGCGCGAAATTGGCCTCGTCGTGAAAAGAAAGTTTGCCTTAAAAGTAAACACCACCTAGAGACGACCTAAATATGTGCAAACTTTAGACATTTTTTTGATAGCAACTATTAAGTAAAAACTTCTAATTTTATCTTGATGTACAACTGTAACCTTCTACTTTATATTTATATTTTTTCTAAGCCGTAATGTTACAAAATGGCGCAGTTACTCGTTATCTTCGAAATCTCTCTTCGTGAAACATCCATTGTTACCCGAGTCGATTACGAACTTTTCACTGGATAGTTATTAATAAAAGAGTTCCTAAAGTTTACCTATATTTAAGATGTCTCTACGCGGTATCCTTCCTTAAATGAAAACAGCGGAGAATACGGGGACAACTGTTGTCTGATTTTATCACGCTCCTCTTCGAGTGTACTGCTTCAATTTCAGCAAGTCTCGGAGAGTAATACTCTGCTGGCATTGTCAGAGTGCCGCGGAACTGATGAAGCTACACGCAAAAGTGAGTCGACGAATGTGCTCCGATATCTTTCGATATGGAATATTATTGGAAAATTAAACGAGTATTGAGTATGATTTAGAATTGCGAGTAGAAATCCAAATCACAGAGGGATGAATAATAAGGATGCTAAGTTCATTTTAAAGATGCAGTGTTTAAAAAGAATAAAATAACAATGGAAAGTCATACGAAATTATCAGACTTACGAGAAACATGAAATTTTTCATAAATCTCTCAGCACAAAAACATTAATCGAATATCGCATTTCCTTCTCCACTAGTTAAATGAAAATAACAGCAATATTTTATTTCCTATACTAAAACCCTCTAAGCTTTTTAACTTTTTTTACTTTATACTCCCATTGGTAAGTGTTGAAGTTGCGACGAAAGAAAGCCGGATCAGCGTGACGGAATGACGATTATTGGATCACGTTGTATAATAGAATGAGCGAGACAAAGGGAAAAAGAGGATTGTGTTTTTCCATTTAAAGTAAATTTTTATTTAGACCGGATACCGTGTCGGGCGTCCAAGCCCTGTCTACGCCGCAGGCTGGTTTCGCGAACGGATAAGTAATCCGGATTATCGCGTCTATAAGATGGCGGCCGAGATCCGTGGATCAACGATATCCCTGGCGGTGGTTCAGCTATCCGAAGCATTCGATCGATCGAGGCTGTGCAACGGAAATCACGTATAAATTAGACCGCAATTTCGGAATGCACACAGGTACCCTAGAATCTCGCATCGCTCCGCTTGTTTATTCCGCCGATGAGTCAATTAACGATCCTACGTGGTCGTAATATTTTTCTTCCACATCGATAGACTAATTTAGGAAGACTTTAT